CACCGCACCTGCTCTTCTCTGCGTGTTTCAGGGGAAGCCGCGACGCCCTTCTGCCCTGAATACCGCAGTGTCGCTCCTGGGAACAAAGGCCTTCTCTTGCATAGGCCCACAGCATGGTCACGGTTATGTGGTGACTAGCAGGATACTGGGCCTATCCACACTGTGGGTGCTAGTTTTCTTACTAATGTCCTGGATGGTAACAGAAAAACAACTTTTGTGCTCCAAAGTGGATGATGCATGGCACTTACGCATGAGATCTCTTCCAGGGACTTCCACCCAGCGCCCCTGTCCCCTCGGCCTGCTGGCCTAAAAGCGGGGGCTGCTGTTTTCTCCCACAGCCTTCCACTCGGGTTTGCCCGAGATGGCTCCATGACTAGGCTCAGATTTTGCCTCTCTGGCAGGGCAATAGGGAAGTGAGGCTGTGCTCTCACGGCGAAGTTCCGGGACACCGGCATTCTCTGTCCCCATGCTGGGATGCAGTCTGGCCCTGGCATGAGGGGTGACCATCAGGCTACCCCTGCTTGCAGGTGCTGTACACCGCATGGGGCCATCCCGTGGGCTGCCTGAGGGCCCGCCAGGCACCATGCTTTCACCACAGGTCAGCAGTCACCAACAAGTCTTGCTTATTATCACTGCCGCCCGCCGAGAGGGTGGCCCAACTCCAGCGTCCATGTTTGTCGGTTGCCTTTCTATGATGAGAAAATGGTTTCCTTTCTCTGCTCCCGTGTTGCTGAGCGAGTGTCTTAGCCTGGGTTTGTGTTAGAACCTTAGTCACTGAGGTTAGATAGTCCCTGCTGGCTCTGCTTTTTCTGACACCTCGGTTATTTCCAATCACTGCTCCCTCTGACCCGAGGTACTCATTGGCGCCTGCCACCCCCTCGGGAGCTTCACTCTGCTCAGCAGAGAGCAGCCCCTTCTCTACTACATGGTGCCACTTCTAAAGTAAAACTGAAACAGAGCATACAGAGATTCAGTAAATGGAATGCTTGAAACATGCTGACCATTGCTGCTGTCAGTTAGACAAGAGGCCACACAGCGTGGCTCACTATGGCCTGTGGGGTGGATCAGGAGCCAGAGCAGAGCTGCTGACCGCGTCCGAGCTTCCGGAGTCAGAGGGGGAGGCCACGCAGTGGACTGGTCAGTGACACTAGCGATTTTCAGAAGACATTCAGAGTAATCAGCTTAGTTCCTTCTCTCTCGTAATTCAAAAATCTAAGCTCTCAGCGCATTACACCCTTAATGATGACGCTTTAAAATGATCCCAGAGAAAGTCAGGAAGAGGTGTGAGGCAGAGGTGGTATGGAACTTCGGCTCTGGTTTTCCCGCATTGGACTGCACTCCAGGCAGTGGGTCTTTGGGAAGTGTCCCAGTGGGGGGACGCAGTGTCCTGCTCCTGTGCCTCTGTCAGGATGCTGATGGGGCTCCACGCAGGAGCAGTGGCATCCACCCGATGCCAAAGCTGCTGGTGCCCCAACCCTAGACTTCCTTGGAGCAGAACTGAGAAGCAAGGGGACCCAGCCCAGGGTATCAGTGACGCGGCCAGCAGGGACTGATTCCCTAGGAACCACAAAGCACACAAAGTTCATCACCACTACAGCTTGCAGGCAGACTCCTGCCCTTAGTGTACGCTGAGCTTTGCTTGAAGCTGCTCGGTGACGCTGAGGTGAGATGCATGGCTGAGTCAGTCATAGAGAGCAAGAGTGCGTTGGAGACAGGAATGCTGGCCCGTCTGCCATTCCTCACACGGCAGAGGGCAGAAGGCCAGAATCGCTGGCCACTGCAGGCAGAGGGGCCCTCGTGGCCTGACTGCTATCATCTGGCAGCACCTGAGTTTAGCAGGAACACCCTCCCGTCACCGCGATCCTGAAGTCTCTGTCCCCCTCCAAGTCTTCCCCAGATATGGATATTGGTATCCGAGCTTGATTTTGGCTGGGGTGTTGACAGTCTGTCTCTGTCCCTTCGTGACCAATACATTTCTCTTATTATGCTGAGGCACATTCCTGTAAACAACACAGAGCTGGAATTTTTGTTTTTAAAACTCCAAACTGGAGTCAAATGTGGCAGTGCCGGTCATGCTGGCACTCTGGGGGCTGCAGCAGGAAGGTCGTAAGTTCAAGCCCAGCCCAGGAGACCTAGTAAGACACTAAAATAAAAAGAACTGGGGGTGGAGCTCAGTGCAAAGTTCCTGGATTCAATCCCCAGGCCTTGGAAAAAGTCCAGTTGCAGAGCAGAACTGCATTGTGTATAAATGTCACGTTTGCTTTATCCTTCATCTGCTGATGGGCATATGTTCTGCTTCCAGGACTCAGCTATTATAAATTGTACTGCTGTGAACATGGAAACGCATGGATCACTGGAACGGGATGCTTTTAACTCTTTCGGGAAGATACCGAGAAGGGGAACAGCTGGGTGGAATGAGACCTCTAGTCCTAGTCTTTAGAGGAATCTCTGCACTGATTTCCACAGGGCCTGTACCAGTCTGCACTCCCCCCTACAGTGGAGAAGGGCTCCCTCTCCCCACAGCCCCGCCAGCACTGATTATTGGCTGAGTTCCTGATGGCAGCCATTCTTTATGGGGTGAGGTGGGACCCCAGAGTTTTAGCAGCATCTCTCGAGTGATCAGTGATGTGGGGCTTTCTTTCCTGTCTTTAGTTGCTGTTTGCACTTTTTCCTCTGAGAGGGTCTGCTCGTCCTCCACCATGGCATCACTGGAAGTGGAGGGGTGGTTTAGACTCCCCAGCCTTGGCCTAGCCTGAGCTGCAGCCTGGAGGAGGAAGGGAGCCAAGAGCATGAGGAGGCCACACAGAGGACAGCACAGCGCTGGAGGCAGCGCGGACCCCAGCTTTGCTAGAGCTGCGGAGGGCTTCAGCCCGGTGGACTGCATCTCAAGCATGGCTCTGTTTCTGTCCTTGCTGCAGCGGAGGCACCGACACAGTCAGACCAGCCCGTGGGTCCCAGTGGAGAGAGAGCAGGGCACAGTGGAGATGCTGGGCCCAGCTGGAGGAAAGCAGGTTGCATCCCACAAGGTCGCTCTTCGGTGATGTGGAGAGTAGCGCTTACTGCAAGCTTGGAGACTGAGCCTCTTCTCTGCAGGACTGAACTGTTGCCTTCAAACACATAAACCTACACATGTGCCTGGGCTTGCAGGGCCAACACCCAGCAGTCACCCCGGAGACCTTCCTTCGGGTGATGTGATGCGCTAGGGGTGCTCCTGGACTCTCCGATCCTGCAGCGGTGGTGTGTTCACATCAGAGGGAGCAGTGGGGGTGGGCTGGTGGCCTGGCACAAATCAGGGTCACAAAGCTGGCTGTCCTGCTAGGAAGCCTGCTCATCACCACCGAGGGCTGGCTGGTGAAGCAGAAGTCTCGCTGAAGAGATCCTTCACGAGGCAACGGGTCTCAAGAATGTGTGACTTCTTGGGTTCTGTCTACAGGGAAACTAACCCCAGCCCTGCGCCCCGGTGCATGTGAAGGCTTGGAATGCGCTGCTGGGGAGACACTGGCCCTGAGACTCATTTGCTGGAATCTGGCAGCCACCACTGAAGGGACGTATGGATCTGACTGAGCAGAAGCTATTTGCTCATGACTATCCAAAGGCCAGCTCTTACAGAGTTGAGAATTTGGAGAAACTTACATCAAGGCAGACGCACTGGAGTCAGGGAGGAGACGACAGACGTCCTTCGGTGTCTTCAGAAGCTGGGACAGTATTCTGGGCCCTGGAACCAGTTCGGGGAGCCAGCGCTGTTGGGGTCAGGGTCTCAGGGGGACTGAGGCCAGAGCTCAGGAAGGGACACAGGAGCAGCCTTCCTCTGGGCCGCTGGGGACGTAGGAAGTCCCGGTCTGTGGCGGGGTTACCTACGTACCCAGCGCTCAAGCCCTGCAGGGGGAAGATGTGAGAGCAAGTGTGCACTTTGGTGCTGAATCTCAGGAATGCCCCACCACCATCGGGGTCAGCAGGAGCTCGGGCTGTGGGCAAGGACCCAGACACACAGACAGACACTCAGACATTGGCGATCCTGGGTGGGCCACCTGGGTGTGGCTGCTTTGCCTTTGGTCATACGGTTTTCCCAGAATGCTGAATGCTGGTGTGACATTTCAAGGATAATAAAGTGCAGTGTTCCCTTGATCTGCACATAATTGCATTCCTAGAAAATGCAGCCTATATTAAAACCAGGCGAAGATGTTTTCTGTTTGAAAGTAAAGCTGAGTAGGATTCCAGCTGCAAATAACCACAGCTGAGCTTTTTTTAAAATTCTGAGTTTTAAACTTTTCATCAGTCCATGTTTGCAATGCATGGCAACTGCATCCGTCCTAGGGCGCTGGGGTGCAGATGCGACCCCACCTCCCTCTCTCATGTCCCGTCCCCTGCCTGTCTCTTGGTCCCTTCCTATTTGCAAGACATCTTGCTCTGTATTTTCTGTCTCTTCTGATCTCCATCAAGTTTGGGAATCATGTAGTGTACAGAGCAGCTCTTCCTCTGTGGGTCTGCACACGTCCTGATCACAGGACCTCTGAATCCTGGCTTCTGCTCACCCAGTGCCAGCAGTGCATGAGGTCACCCCGACAGTTTAAAATAGCCCCCAGAGTCCCGGATGTCTCTGCAAATTCATCCTGCTGTTGTAGGGAGGGGTTTTGTAGATGACACAGTGTGATCCTGGGGTACAGTATGAGAAGGGTGGATGTCACAGCTGGGCTTGGGGACATAAATCTGTAATCCCAGCTACTTGGGAGGCTGAGGCAGGAGGATGGCAAGCTCGAGGCCAGCCTGGGCTACTTGGTGAGATCCAGTACAGAAACGTAAAGCACGCAGCTCAGTGTGAGGCCCTGTACACGTCCTCCAGTTCTGAGAAGGAGGGAAGGGGAGTGGCCGATTCTCTAGCACACATCACCAAGGACACACAGATGGGCACAGCCCTCCGGGTTCTAGCGCCCCGTCCTTTTTTCCTTCCTCCCTCCCTCCCTTTCTCCCCTACCCCATTTGCTTTTTCTTTCTTCTTTCAGCAGCCCTGGAAATCGGACCCCGGGCCTCACCAGGCTGAGCCTGCTCCCCAGCCTTCCAGGCACTCACCAGTTCTGGGAGGCCCCATCCCTGCTGCCACTGACTGATGTCCCGGGCAGCTGCTGCTCTTGCCCTGGCGCCCCGCACCGGTCAGGGGATTCGATTGTGTCGGTTTGGATGTGAGTAACACCACGTCCGTCCGCGTGTGCTCTAATTGATGTTCCTGATTTTAACCAACTCTTCCTTCCACCAATTAATAGCATTTAACCCCCATGGCAGTTAAATCACTTTAAACTACGAAGTGTGATCTCAAGTTTGCTCTGCTGGATTTTCTCAAGCGTGTCAGGCATGGTTCGCCAAGCAGATGAACAAGGCATGTGTGTGCATGTGCTTGAGTGTGTATGTCCTGGGGACTAAAATCAGCACTTTCACACCGAGCCACATCCCAGCCCTTTCTTTGTTTTATGTTGAGACAGGACCACTACAGTTGTGCGGAGTTCCCGGTGGTGGTGACAGCCCGGCATGTGCAGTGCAGGATCTCAGTGCTGCAGCTCAGGCCTGGACTTCACACCCCATGATGGCTGCCATGGGGTCCAGGCAACTCAGACCTTTGCAGAGGGCAAAGCCCAGTGTGGCAGGCATGCCTGTTACCCAGCACTCTGGGAGGTGAGGCAGGAGGATGACAAGTTTTAGCTCAACTTGGACAACTCAGTGAGACCCTGTCTCAAAAAACAAAGAAGGACTGCGGGTGCAGCTCAGTGAATAGGCCCCCACTTCTGTCTCCAGCGCTGCCAACCAAGAAAGAAAATCCCTGGAGTGCAGAAAGAAGGGCGCCTCCTGCTCCTCCAGGGCAGAGCCTCAGGCTCCTGGTGCACACGAGGGTCCCTTGGCTGCGGCCATCCTGTCCTATCTCCTTGCAGCCTCTGCCTGGCCCCTGCTGCTCCCCTGGAGGACTTTTTAAGATCTCCAGCTGTCACTTGTCTCCTCTTCCTGATGACAGATGGCCTCCCTGTATCGGTCACCATTGCATCTCTGGACATTGTCATCCGGCCCTTCAGGGGCGAGTTCCAGCTGCTCTGTGTGACCACCCCGGCCTCCCAGGTGGCTGGAGGCTGAGTCGGCTCCCACAGCCTCAACTCCCACAGCCACAGCCCCCATTAGCCCCTGCTGCTCACCACCCGCAGACTTGTGCTTCCCGTTGTCCCACAAACATCTGCCCGGAAGCTGCCTTCCTTCCGGCCTCCCCTCAGCTCCCTCAGGCCAGCCTTCCTTCCCTCCCCGCTGCCTCCTCCTCCGGCCACCTAAGTCCCCTGTCTGCCAGGCCCAGGCCGGGCACTGAGAATGCTGAGGGTGACAGGAGGTGGGTTCTGTGGCCCAGGAGCTGCAGCAGCAACTGTGGTGTGGGTGGTGGAAGAATGAGCCCAGAAGGAGTCCGAGGATGGGGTTGTTGACATCATATGGCCCTAGGCATCCAAGATGACCTCAGGTGCGGCCCTGGCCTAGCGAAGTGGCCTATCTCGCCCTCAGTTCACATCTCGTGCCAGGCTTCCTCCCTGGGATGCAGGACAGGGGACATGATCCTCTCTGTCTCTCTCAGGAGCTTAAGGACCTCATGGGGGGCGGCTCTGAGATGTGGACAGGCCTGAAGGCTGAGTGTGTAGTGGCTGGGACTGTGAGGGAGGTAGTGTCCTTTCAGGGTCCCCGTGTCCATGCCTGTGCCAAGGCTGCCTCTGTCCTTCTCCCTGACACTGAAGACTCGGGTTTTTCACTGCAGAAATGCAGAGGCCACCACTTCCACCTCTGAGAGCCAGGCTCTGTTCTCCAGTCCCCCTCAGCATTAAAAATGCAAATGCCTGCTATTTAAATGCAGCCCTGGGCCCAGGCTGGGGCTTTCTGGGCATCCACAGACCATAGGGGCTGCCATTTCCTGTCAAGAGCAGGCCATGCTCAGTGGCAGAGGCAAGGGGACACATCGCTGTCACCCAGGCATTGGTACTGCTCCAGACCCTGCCAGTGAGTGGATGTGTGTTCCCGGAGGTACGGACCCCGTGGCTGTTCCTTGACCTTGTGGCCCCCAGTCCAGCCAAGCACCACGTCAGAGATGAGCTCAGGGAGTAGCTCCTGAGCATCCATGAGTTCTCTGTCCCCCTCGGGACATCTCTGGGCTCCCCGAGTGTCCCAGGTGTCTCATGTGGCCTTCACATTGGCTCAGATGGAGTCACTGGGGATAAATCCTTTACAGACTTGCGCCTTCCAGGGGCTCTGCAGCAAGTGGGGTGTGGAAGTGTGCTTCACAAAGCAGGCTTGAAAGAGGGGCAAAGAGGCAGCCAGAGGTGGCCTGGTACCTGGGGCCCCTCCCCAGTGCCATCTCCCGGTGGGATGTGATCCTGTGTGGTGCAGAGCGGATGGGTGGGACTGTTAGAAACCCTGGGGTGTCACAGAACCAGTGCTTGCTGAGAGTTCGGGGTGCAGCATGCATTTTCTCTATGTTTTTTTCAGGATGCAAAAACCACATCTCGACTTGAACAGAGAGAATTCGCGGACAGGATTAACTAAGTACAAAGCCATCAGCCAGGCACTGGACAGTAAAGTGAGCTGATTTAGTGTGTTCGCACTGCTCTAACAAAAAACCATAACCAGGCAGCTCAGAGCCACAGAAATTGCTTCTCACGGTTTCTGAGGCCAGACAGGGTCAGGCAGGGCAATGCTGGCCCCAAATGTGTTTTCCTGCTATGTCCCTGCTGTAAGGGCACTGTTACCTTATACCTAGCTGTACCCCCAAAGCCTCAACCCCATCGGTGGGACTTTACCAAGGTGGCTTGATCTAAGGTATGTGAATGTGGATTAAGGGTTCCGGCGCTGAATCGTCCACCACTGGGATTAGCGTGGTTCTGGGTGTGGCTGAATGGATTTAGGAAGGCCAGCCTCTGTCCCTGGGTATAGCTGGCACCCTCTAAGTGCTTGTTTCCTGGATGGGATAGAAGGGAAAAGCAGGTTTATAGCTGCTGCTGCTGCTGCTGCTGCTGCTTCTCTGCCTCCTGCCTGCCCTGCCATGGACCATTTCTCCTCTGCGATGCCCCTCTGCCCTGCCACCTGCCTTGGACCCAGCCAGCTATGTACTGAAAACTCCACACACTGTGAGCCAATATAACCTTTGCTCCTTTGACTTGTGGGTCTCGGGTATTCTGTCTTAGCAACAAGAAAAGTGACCAAGACAGACACCCATCCTGTCCACGAGACATCAGCCCTTGGGACTAATCATCCCCAACCCCCACCCCCTTAACACCCTGCAGCTTTCAGGTTTCTAACATGAACTTGGGGGCACAAGCAGTCAAAGCACCCCGAGATCAGACATGGACTCACAAGCAGTCACCACTTAGGGATGAGGGCCACAGGGGGAAAGCGCATTGTTACAGGTAGGGGCTCTTTGGGGAGGGGCTGAGCCTCCAAGGCAGGCTATATCTAAGCCTTGTGAGACAAAGCCCTGGCTGTTGGCACTGGGAAACCCACACCGCAGCCAGAGCTCAAGGCTGTGCAGAGTCAAGCTTGTGGAGGGGAGCCAGGCAAGAACAAGTCCAGGCCTAGAGCTGGGGGAACGGAGGCTGAGCAGAGCAGGTTTGCAGAGACCTGGTGGGTCCTGCAGTGTGGAGAGACTGCTGCTGCTCATGGTGCAGAAAGACAAACGGAGTCTGGAGGGCTCAGAGAGCAGAATGGGAAGCGGGGCCCACCTGCTTGCAGTCGCCATGCTCTTCCAATAGGGGGCAGCACAGATTGGAAGTCTCCTGTCAGATTGGCAGCAGAGGTGGGCAGGGTGGGGGCAGGCAGGTCACCTGTGGAGGAGGGGTCCTCACAAAGTCTCTCCCTGCACCACTGAGGGGCCGTAGCTGTGATCAGCCCTGCACTGACTCACAGCTTCACCACAGACCCTGTCGGCTACGCAGGACAATGCTTGTCTTGTTGGCAAGGAAAGAAACTAAATCACTTCATAACCCTGGGATGGTTGAGGTCTTTGCTTTTGGCATAAAATGAGCCCCCTGATAAACACCTCTCCTTCCAGATGCCCTGAGAAGCCTCCCCATCTTCTTGAGCTGGCACACAGGTGCTTGCAGGACAAGGTGCTGGCTCCTAAATGGTTCTCCTGGGCTACACCCCAGGATATGTGGGCTCCCAAGTTGGGATGGCTACAGGGCTTTGCCACAGGGCTTTGCTTGGCACGTGCATCCCCAGTGACAGACAATCGCTTCTCCTCCTCTTCCTCTTTCTCCTCTTCATCCTCTTCTCCTTCATACTGGGAATCGAACTCAGGACCTTGCACTTGCCAGGCAGGCACTTATGCTGCTGAGCTATATCCCTGGCCCAACCACCACTTTAAGACATATTTTCTTCCTGTCCTAGTCCCTTTTTTTTTTTGGTCTTTTTTGTTTTTATCTGTACCAGGGATCGAACTCACGACTGCCTGCTTGCAAGGCAGGCGTTTATGCTGCTGAGCTAAATCCCCAGCCCCTTTAGTCCCTTTCTTTGTCACTGAGAAGAAATACCCAATATTCTCAGCGTAATGGGTGAAAGATTCACTTCAGCTCAGAGTTTGTAGGTATGGTTGAGGGGAAAAACAGTAGGAAAACAGTGGTTCTGTCATGGCTGCAGGGGCGTAGAGTCAAGAGAGGAGCTGGGGATGCAGAGCAAGACACCAGAGCAGGATGAAACTCAGCTGGGCAAACATTAAATCTTCTCCATGCCCCATGCCCAGGACAAGCTGTGGTGAGATACGAGCTCCAGAGGGCTTGGGAGCTCACATCTACAGCGCTACCAATGATTATGGCCTTCATGGCTCTCTCTTGAGCTGGCTTTGCTCATGCCTTGTACTCTCCTCACTCACTCTATGTTCCTCAGATGATCAGATCTTCCTGGCATCTCCAGCCTTCTAGGGTCTCCACTGCACCTTTGGCTTCACTCTCAGCTCCACACACTGCCCTCTCAGGGGACACATTGCCTGGTATCCCAGGCCTTCTTCTGAAATCCTGGTGGAAACCATCCTGATCCCACAGCTCTTGCATTCTGCCTGTACCTAAAACCAGGTACCAAGGTCTGCCAGCAACCGGTACAGTAGCCAGACCCCCTTGTGTCATGGCTGTAGAGGTCTCTGAGCATCTGGGTGGCTGAGCACTGGGGACTGAATTCCAGGGAACAAGTTCCCCAGGCAGCCTTATTTGAGCAGCGTGGTGCAGGGCCTTCCTTCTCAGGTCATGCATTTTTGCAGTTTTGAGCCTGTGGAGGCTGGGGTCTCGCTTATTCCTCACATGCCTCTAGGGATTTTTCTCATTGTCCCTCTGTAAAGTACTTGGCTTCTTTTTAATATTAATCTTTCCAGGAACCAAGCTTCTCTGATGTAACTTTGCCAGGCTTTCTTTTTGGGAGAAACTGAAATCTTTTTAAATAGACTTTTTGCTCTTGATTTTCAGTATAAACCCGGCTAAAAGCAGCAAGTAGTATGTAGGCCTCAGCCTGAATGTTGGGCTGCCTGGAAATTTCTTCCCCCGGTTAATTAGTCTGCTCTTGTGCTTAATCTTTGGGACATGAGCAAAATATAGACAAATTTTCTGCCAGAGTGGAATATACATGCAAGACCTTGAGTCCCACAGCCAGTGGAGTTCTTCCCAACTGACTTCTCTACAGCACAGTCTCTTCAGACTGTGTTATTCTCAGCATTCTGGTCTTCTGAGTTCCCACCAGATCTCCCATCAAGCTCGGCTCACCTCACATCCTAGTGCTGCTTCTCCAGGTAGCATCTGAAAGCCAAGCTCCTCCTGAACCAGTTTCAAAGGCCTCTGCACCACATGGTGAGGTACAGTCACTGAGACAACCCCACTCTCGGTATCAAATCCATTACTTTCCTTATCACTGGGACAAAACACCAACACCAACATCTTAAGGAAGGGGAGGTCCATAATCAGCTGGCCCCAAGGCAAGACAGCAGCACAAAGGGGGGGAGAGGAGGGAAAGCTGCTCACAGCATGGTGTGGGGAAGCAGAGAAAGAAGGGAGGAGCTGAGGAAGAAGGTGAACCCTTTCAACCTACACCCCATGACCTGTCTCCTCCCACAGTCAGCTGGCTGTTACCATCCCCTACCCCCGCCACCATCATGAGGTTTTGGGGGGACATGGAGTTAGAAATCGTCACTCTCCAGCAGCCCCGACACTCAGGCCACAGCTCTGGGCTCCTTTTCTGACTCAGTGCTCCCGAAGACATTGAAAACCCCCAGGCAAACAAACCCCAGGCTCAGCCCTGTGCTGCTCCTCTCTGGTGACTGGGTCTCTCACTTCAGGATGCTCACACAGAGCCGCCCTGCTCAGACTGTCCAAAGGCTGCCTGCCCTCTCTTGGTAGAGTCCTCCAGCCTCGGGCACCTCTCCCAGTCCTGCTCTGCTCCCTCCTCTGCCCTTTCTCTGCTCTCTTCAGCTGCAAGCCTCCCTCAGGTTCCAGAGCTGCAGGACCCCTCCTGCTCCTCCCTCCACTGGCATCCCCAGGGCCACCCCTCCACCCCCTTCCCCTGTCCCCTCTCCTTTTGCCTGCACCCCCACACCCCTGGGTGCTGAGTCACCGCCGCCCTCCTCCAAGAGTTCATTGATGGAGCACGTTGCCGCTGATGTTCTCAAAGTTGCAGGTCCCTGACTTCCACCACAGCCACTGCATTTTAATGGCCCGGGTGCCATCAGCCTCCTCTGCTAGATGCCCGGCTCCTGGCACACAGCAGGCACTCTGTGAAATCAATTTGAATCAATCAATGTAAAACCTAAACATCAGTGGCAAAAATAATCACAGAGGAGTCTTCCAGTGGCTTTGAAGTAGCCTCATCTCAGTGTGTAAGGTCATGTGACAAGGACGGGGCCCTGGCCCTGCAGCGCCTTTCCCTGGACCCTCAGCTCCTCACAGAGAGGACGCCAAGCCTCTGAGAAGCTCCCGGGCCTGGAGAAGGGAGGACAACCATCTAAACCTGCTGCTCCTGCCTGGCCACCCCTGGCCCTGTGCCTCTTCTCAAGGTCGTCTTTCATAATGTCCCTGGCCACAGCTTACTGTCCCTATGGATACCAGACCAACATGCACTGTGATACTGTACCCAAGGAGCCCCGTACCCCAAGCCCCAGACCATTAAACCAAAGGACAGGGCTCCCTCGGCTGCATCCAGCCACAGGACGGAGATTTCCAGAATTAAAATCCCCTCTGAAATTGATCCTTTAATAAGGTGAAGACAGAAGCCCAGCGTGAGGTGCAGGGCTCCCATCCCAGACCAGGGAGGCTGAGGCCAGAGGACTGCGGGTTTCAGCCCACTCTGAGTAGCTGAATAATTCGGTAAGACCCTGTCTCAAAATTAAAAATAAAACAAGGCTGGGGACGTCATTCAGTGAAAAGGCCCTGGGTATGATCCCTAGGACTGCTAAAATAAACCAGAGCCCATAATATGTCAGGCATTTAACAAGTCAATATGCTGGCATCGTTTAAAACTTGCGTTAACTATCTCCACTATAAGGGTGAATATGCGGGGTCAGGAAGGCTTTAGCTGACAGATGGGTGGGTGGGTGGTAAATGGGGGCATGCACGTGTGTCCAGTGGACGGAGGGTGGGGGGTGGGTGGACAGGTGGAAGGATGAATGGGGGTGGGTGGGTGTGTGCATGCACACGTGGATGCAGGGCTTGGTGAATGGATGAATGCGTGCATAAGTGGTAAATACATGGAAAAGAAGAAGGCAGAGCGGCCACGTCACATGCTGTTAACACTGAGCCCCTCACAGGGGGGCTCCGTCTGTCACTAGGCAGCGGCTGGACAGACAGGGCCAGAGCTGTTGCTGGTGTGGCAAAGCCACTCATTTTAACCTGAATTATGGGGCAAATCTTTCATTGTTCAATGTGTCGGCTTTGAGGGAAGGGGGAGTAGGAGGGAAGGAAGGGAAAAAGAATTAAGGTGCAGTGAGTACAGGCACCGCTCCCCAGCCTGAATACAATCATCATGTACTGCAAACACGGACTAACAAAAATTTTTTAAAAAATAGCCAGGTGTGGGGGCACAGGCCTGTCATCCCGGCACTCAGGAAGCTGAGGCAGGAGGATCTTTGAGAGTTCAAGACCAACCTGAGCTACAGAGGGAGCTCAAGGCCAGCCTCAACTGCATAGT